ATAATGTGACTGGATTAGCATGAGGACTTTGAAAATATTAGATTCCAAAGATATTATGAGTTTAGATGCCCATATTGAGACTATTGTCTATATAATAAAACAGAACACAGCTCTCTCACTCTCTCATCTCTTTAGCTCTTCCATTCCCTCTCACTTTCCTCTGTTCCACTTTATCCCTTCCTCTTTTTTTTGTTACTTTCCCCATGTTCTCCATCCAAACCTGAATGCTACCCTTCTAAAGAACTGGATCTGTAGTGGCATCTTGTTTGACCAATGAACTTTTGGTGGTCACTACACTCCAGCTGACACTGGAGACAGGTAGTATCACTCTCCTGGGGTGGGTGGCAAAGGCTGCTACAGGGAGGAGAGGGAGACAGAAGAATGTGGGGACAGCAGTAGATATGGGGATGAGGGGTCTGGGTAAAGAAAGCCATCCATGGAGTCCATTGTGTCACCACGATGGGTGCAAGGCTTAGAGGACTTGGGAGAACGTAAGTATATTTTCATATAGTCAAAGAGGAAGGAGCACCACCACGGCATGTGATACCTGAGCCCAGGGATAAAGCAATACTACTGGCTAAAAGCAGTGGAGAGGAAGAAGCCACTGATGGCAGCAATGGGACGTGGGACAGGCAGGATCAGACAGACAGATACCCACCTCACCAAAGTCAATGTTGGTATATTCGCCAGGGCTCTTGGGCTTTATGGGTAGAGGGTACTCTTGCATGATGGGAAGAGTCTGTAGTCCCTCCAGCAACAAGCATGTGGTTCATACTGCACGCAGTTCTGGCAGGAATTTCAGACCTGACTTCCTTTAACCAAAAATGAATCCACAGCTTCTCATTTTCTGTGGAAATAAAATCATAACCTCTTCCCCAAAGCAACATACATTTTGACCTAAATATTGAAGTCAAGATATTTTTAAATATATAAATTGGTTTAATCTAGCAGCTTTAATCCAGTAGCTCTTAGCAGCCATTACTCCTTCTTCAGCAGTCAAAAAAAATTCAAAGACAACACAATCATATACAGTAGCCAGATTCTCTGTGTATTTTCCATCTTTACATGGCTTTAAAATTGTTTTACTCTCTTTTTTAAAACTTAATTTTTTTGTTAAAACTACCCATTTTAATTTAAGACTATATACTATTTCTCTTCTATCTCTTAAGACTTTGCACAGTTTTAAACATATTGTAACCCATTTAGAATTTTTTTTTTCTGTCTGAATATGTCTTTACTGTATATCTGTAATCCTTTTCTTCCTGCATGATCAAAATTCCAAACTCACCATGCAGAGTGTGGTCAGAGCTTTTGGTGGTAGTATGCCTTCAGGCAGTGGCTGAGAGAAGCGTTTCTGTACTATGTCCAATGTGAAAGACTGCAATAACCCGCCATGACACTTACCTCATGTTGGTTGGCTGCTGGTTCCAATTTATAGGTAGTTGTCTAGAGAGGAATCTCTGCAGATCTGATGGCATTCACTATGACACTAGGAAGCTAAGTTTGTCTTTGTTTCTATGCAGTTAGAAAAAAAATTATTCTATGTTATTGTGTTGTCTTTAATTGTTTGTCTGCTGAGGAAATAGGAACAACTAGTAAAAGAAATGCATATATATATATATGTTGCATTGGTTGTTCAATTCTTTTTTTAATTTATTTTTTTAGTTTTATTTTACATATCAATCCCAGTTCGTTCTCATTCCCTTCCTCCCTCTCTCCTCCCCTCCCTCCCTCCCTCATTCGCTCTTTCCCTCTTTCCCTCCCTCTCATGATCCCCTGACCAACTACCCCTCCCATCCTCCCCCACTCCACATGTAGGGTAATGACCTCCAGGAGGGGGTCATATAAATCTGTCAAGTCATTTGGAGTAGGGACGAAGACATCTCTTGTCTCTCTAGGTTAAGGTGTATCCCTCCATGGGGGATGTGCCCCCAAAGTCCTTTTGTGCACCAGAAATACATCCTGGTTCCACTGTCAGAGGTCCCTTAGACTGCCCAGGCCTTCTAGCTGAGACCCCTGTTCAGGGGGTCTGAGTCAGTCCCATGCTGGATTACCAGCTATCAGTCTGGGGACCTTTTAGTTCCTCCTTGTTTAGGTCAGCTATCTCTATGTGTTTCTGCAACCTAGTCTTGTCCCCCCTCTCTGCATCTGGATTCCAGGAGTTCAGGTCAGTGTTTAGCTGTGAGCTTCTGTTTCCATCAGGTACTAGATGAGGGCTCTATGATGGTGATAAGTTACTCATCATTCCTATTATCATGGAAGGACATGTATGGTAGCCTTTCCACTGTTGCTCAAATTGTTAGTTGTGGTCAGTCTTGTAGGTTTCTGGATATTTCTCTTGGTTCAGTTTTCTCTTCAAACCTATAATGGCTCCCTCTTTTATGCTCCCCTCTCTCTTTTCTCTTGTCAGTTCCCTCGGGATTCTTGTGGATGTACTTGCCTAACATTTGAACACCATTTCTAGTTGAAACTTTTCTGTCCCACAGCTACTGAAATAAACACATAGAGGCTTATATTAATTATAATGAACTTCTAATAGGTCAGGCTTATTAATAACTAGATCTTACACTAAAAGTTAACACTTATTCCTTATTTATGCTTTGACACTGTTAGGTTCTACAAGAAGTCAGGTTAAAAAAAAAAAAAAACACCAGTCACATATGCAGTCATCAAGGTCTTTTATTAGTAAAAGCATAACAAAAAGTTGGGGTGTCACATGGCAACAGCAAAAGAAACCTACAGGCCCCCTTTTAAGCTGCATTAGGGAAATTCCAGAGAGATGAGTTTGATCTGGAGGCTAATTGGTGAGTGGCTCTCTAGTGATTATGGACATTCCAGCACCAAGGTATGGAAAGCTATCTTTAGCTAGCAGTTGGCTGTGGTCATCACCTGAGCAAGTAAAAGGTTATAAGTGGTTTGGTTGCTCCTGAGTTGTGGTTTCTCCAAGAACTGTGAGTTCAGCTCCAGCTAACACCAGTAAACCAAAACTAAGGTCTGCCTGGTCCCAGCCAGGGGATATTAAACATGTCATTTCTCTAGTCTGGCTCTCCAGCACTCTCTAATGTACCAGTACCTTTATGAATATGGCAAGTTCATCTCCTGCTCCCTCTGTATCCTTTTTCGTCCCAACAGTCTCCTAGTCTGCCTCTGCTGCCTTACCTTATTATTTTCAGTTATTGGCCAGTTAGCTTCTTTCTTAAAGCAATTAGATTGACATATATTCACACAGAGTAAAGGAATACTCCACAACAAAAAAAGCCCACTCAAGCATGAGTAATGATTGCTGAAATAAATATGGATGGATTTACTACTCCCAGGCTGTTAATTTGTCAGTATTGTCTTCAACAATACTGCTTGTCTAACTTTGGGGAGGGACTTTATATGTTTCAGTTCTCTCACACATGGTAGCATTGTTACTTACTAAATTTTATGGATATCCTTCCTTCTTCTTATTAGAAATATTTCATTTTGGAAGAAATTTCATACTCATACTCAGTCTGCATAAAGATACCTGTGTGTATATGAACAATAATGTTTTAAAAATGATGCCAAGAATTTTAGAGAAGGGTTGTATGGGAGTGGGTAGAGTATGGAGAGGGGAGAGGAGAAATGACATGATTACATTATAATAAAAATTAATTAGTGTTTTCTATGGAAAGTGATAAATAATTTGGGCATAGGTTTATTTTCTTCTTCAGATATGGGGAGCTTAACATTTGCAATTCCTCAAGGTTCAAAAATATTACTCAAAAGCCTTTCCACTCAAATTAAACTTTGACATTGAATTTACCACCTCCAAATTTGGAACTTGTCTTTGAAGTATAACAGTCTATTCTAAGAAACCTGGTTGAAATGCACTTTAATGAAAGACAATTTGGCTCTATGAGCTCATTCTGAGTGACTGACAATTATGTTCTTGGAAATTCTTCTCAAAAGATTGCCATCCATTTTTTTTCCGCAGAAAACCCCTGCACATAATTGTATAGCATGTGCAGTATATTAACCTGCCCTGGGACAAACATATGGACTCTGACCATTTTTATCCCAGGCAGGATTTCATCTTGGTACACTCAATATTCAAAGTGACTTTTATAATGTATTTCTTGTTCTTGCTTAAACTTTAAACTCTGTAATGCACTATCTAGTCCTTGTTAATCAACTCACACTACCTCAAGGGGCCCACCATCTGAGGGTCTATCCTTGATCCTCACTCCCACAGCTTCATGCAACCAGCCATGCAGCATCATTTAAATTACACACAGTTGAGAAACTGAAATAAAAAATTGTGTAGCTGTATTATTCAGAAATTCCCTGCTCTTCCAATCATTTCTTTTGCATGTCCTTCTTATCGTAGTTTTCTATTCTCTTCCTTCTCCTGGGAAATTCTATGTCCTTACAGGCAGTGGGTAGACCTTTGTTGTCACCAACAATAATATTGGAGTGAGGAGTTACCAAAAAGCTGATGCCCAATGAGGGCTGCGGAAAATAATGAAATGACCAAGAGACTGGTTATGAGGTTTAATTTATGACAGTTTATTTTCTCACACAGTTTAATACAGTAATAAAACCAACTTTGTTCCCATGAACATTACAAATAAAGGCAAACCAAAAGTGGCCAGGATGAAGTGGCCACTTTACTTTGTTTCACTGATTGTAGCACATCACATTCTGTGAAACTTTTTCCCATGCCTTGTTTTCTCACACCTACTGAAAAGAAATCCGTGAAATTTTCCAATAAATTCAAAACCCCATATATCTTATTTTTAAACTTGACAAATAGCAATAACTGTATCAGATGTATGGTTAAGAAGCATACATGAGACAAATTAATAATCAGTTATAGGAATATTAACAATGTAACAGAGGAAGAAAGGTACTTATACTTTTCCTATGCTTAGCAGAAGAAGAAGAGATTCTCTTAGTGCTGTCTCTCCTATCCATAACCACCCAACTACTCAGAAAACTGGCTGTTCCTCAGCACAGTGACAGCTACATGCAAGGGCCAGCTAAGTGTGGGAGGAGCTGCTAGATTGGCCAAGGCAGGGAACCCTGGCAGCATGGTAACCAGAAGCCTCACCTCTTCTGGCTGCTCTCTCAGCCTGGTTACTGAGAGCCTCCTCATACTGTTGAGGGTAGAAACTGGGCATGGCATTTTTGATCTTAGCTAAAACATCCAGGACTTTCATCTTCATATCTTCATTGCGTGCCCTAGAACCCCACAGGAACTCATAGCTTGGGGGATTGCTACCAGGCACCTGGCGGTACTCCACATAATTTTGCTCAACTAGCTCTTTGGTAATGAACTTCCGGGGCTCCCCAAAAATTAAGTGCCTCCTCCCAGGATATATCCCCTGCATATGGAGGAACTGCCAGACTTCTTCCTCACTGGCACTGTTGCCCTTCATCAAGATCATACCCAGCAGGGTCAGTATGAGACCCGTCTTTGGCAACTCTTTCCTGCCACCCTCATTCGTCCCAGGTGGCATGGGTAACTTGTTAACAAGAACATAGGCCTGAGTGTTATGTTTGTCAACCTTCAACTCAAGGCCATAGACTACCTCAAGCTGATAGGTGGCTTTCTCCAGGATCCAAGGGAAGTGCACCTTGTACTTCCTGCTGATCAGCTTCAGCATATCTGCTTCCACAGGCTGCTCATCCTTCTGGTACTTCTCCAGCAGGTAGTGAAGTAGCTTGCTGGCCTTCCTGGTCATAGGATCTCTGCGTGCAGAATCGATAGCTTCTGCTATAATGCAGGCATTTGCACGTTTCTCATCAGTGCCTGCAACAGAAAGCTCAGCACCAACAACAGAACCCTCAGCACCAACCTCAGAACCATCAGCATCAATATTATAGCCTGAGTAAGGGACATCTAACTCAGGAGAGCCATGGGATGCAGCCTCCTGGGATCCCCGAGGAGTGCAAACATCAGGGGATCTTGGGGCATCTCCCTGGCCAAGAGGAGGCGCTGCTGCTTCCTCCTCTGCAGAGGGCTGAGCACCCTGGATACTCTGGCTCTCTCCTCGGGCCTGCTGCCTTTTGGCCCTGGAGCGGCTCTTGCTCTTGTTGCCCCTAGGCATAGTGCTCTGGGTAGGCAGGCTGGAATGCTGGAAAAAATCTGGGGTGGGGGGAAGAGAGAGAATAATATTATGTAAACATTACTAGGTGGATAACAACTTGCCTTCAAGGAGTTTCCCCCTTTGCAACTTTTCTAGGAGTACCTTTGTGGATTCAATCCCTGTTCCTGTTCTCTTGTTGAAACAACTTCCTGAGAAATCTGTGGCAAGAAACAGAGTTTGTTAGGCCACTGCCTGGCAACCCAAATTTTACCTTACTAGGGTCAAAGAAGGGTATTCACTTTGGCTCCACCTTATTTGAATAAATCGTTGTGTTTAATTTTAAATATGTTTTGATTCCAACTTTACTCTGCTACTCTTAAATTAGCACTATAATCTTCACTTGTAACACACTGGCGAAAATTAAGGGATATCTTAACCCTGTTGTTTGACATCATTTCAGAGGATATCTAGTAAGCATATACATTTGCAAGCTCTGCCCCGACCTAGCCCATTTTCTTCTCTGAAATAACTTCTACAGAAATTATTCCACCGTTTTCCGAAGGACAAAGTAGGGTAGCATTTTAGGCCCAAGGCCAGCTCAACCCACCTATGCCACATAAGGGAACAGTTCTGTATCCAGCCCCACACGGTATGGCGCCAGGACTTAACTGCCATATCCAGGAATTAAAGGGAATTATGTTGGGACCAGGGCTTTCCTGGGGAAGACTGGGTTGTGAATTTAGGAATCTATAGTGGGGTGTCACATTTTGAACTCATCATCACCCAAAGGCATCCCCTGGAAAAATTCTCACTTGAATAAACACGACACTTCGAGCAACAGATCACAGCCCAGGCTCACGGAGGCTCCAACGGCGAAGCCAAACCGGAAGTTATTATCTTCCACTTCCGGCTCCTGGCTCCACCCCTCTACCCTTGGTCCCACCCCTTTTGGCCCCCTACTGAGCTATTTGTACTCTAAACAGAACTTCAAAGGTAGCTAATCCAGAGAACATGCAAAAACTATTTCTATTGGCTTTGAGTGGAACTGACTGGGATTTCACCCTTCTGATGTGGGTCAATGGATCTCAGATAATAGATCTAATTCCCATCAGAGTTCTGAGTAGGAATTAGATGGAGCGATTCTTAGTCTGGTTCCCATGCCCTGGACCCCAGTATAATGTACAGATTGCTGCTCAATGTACGTGTTTGTGATCCTGGTTCATGAATGCACTGTCCTTGCCTTCATATACTTCTCCTCCCCTCTCACTTACTCTCCTTTTCTCTTTTCCTCTCTCCACCCTTGCATTTCATTGGCGTTTTTATTACAGTCTTCTGGAACTTACTATGACACTCAAAGTTACATAGAAATCATTATCCTTTTACCTGTGTTCCCAGTACAGATATTGTTATATATCACCATTCCTGGAATCTCTCATTTTTCCTTATGAATAATTGTGTTATTTTATATCAGGGTTTTGAAACCAAGTATTTTCTGTTTAACGTAAACTGTCTTACAAATTCTTATGTAACCTAAAGTGGACTTAAACTCACAAGTCACCTGCTTCTTTATCTCTAGTGCTGGGACTAGAGTTCTGAATCACCAGCCTTACATCCATCAACTTTCGGATATCTACTACTAGAGTTGCTGAAAACTTTACATTTCCATCAAATGTAGGTTAGGATATTTTTCCTTGGAACATCATCAGTATTACTTTCTCCTCCTTTTCTTTGCCATGACATAGCCATAAATCATTTTTTCACTATTTTGCTTTTATTAAAAACACATCACAATGATATAATTATTTTTTCCCTAATAGATAAAGTTGTTGACAGTTTTTAATTCATTTATATTTCTTCATTTGAAATGGTGACTCAGTTATTTGTCATTTTATTGAATATGTTATTTATATTTTTCTATGTATTTTTAAATTCTTTCTATAATAACTGCATTAAACTTGGTGCTATGAATAACTGAAAACTTGTTCTTTTGTTATATAGCATTTTCATTTCCTGTGTGTCCCACTTGGTAACTTGTGGTAATATGACTACATCTTTTGAGTGCAAATATTTAGAAAATTATTGTCTGTACATGTATGCTGAATTGTTTTCTAAAAATTTCCCTCTTGAACTTTGAAGTTTTCACTCTTACATTAATTTCTTTGATCTATTTTGAGTGCATTTCACACAGAGTAGGAGATAAGGATGTAGCTTTTTGTGTTTTACCTTTTAGTATTTTTCTCTATGTGGATATCCAGATTTCCCAGCACTATTTTTAAAATAGATTGTATATGTTTTTAAAATATTTTTCCTTTTGTCCTACAGGTTGAGAATCAAAGGATGCATAAATTGTTTATTTAAATGACAGCTCTATACTGTTACCACTACTCTTGCTATCATTTATTCTTCTTTTTATTTGCTGTTTTTGTCAAATGTGAGTGTTCATTGTGGTGTCTTATTCAATTTTTAATATTAGAGCTTAGGACAAATATCTAAGAATTCCAAACTCTATACTGTATAATGTTTATGATTTTCTGCTAATATATTCACTGTATACTTTATGAAATGGACATTTTCTAAAAGTTATTGGCATGCATTAGCTTTTAGGATTTTTCAGAGGCTCTTATTTACTTCTAAACAGGATTATATATGTTTTCAATTTTGTGGTAGCAAAGTTTTCCAATGAATGACATATGTGATGTGCTATTCTTCCTTGCCTTGGACACTCTTATTTTTCTTTTTGTCAGTGATTTTTTCCATGTGTATGATTATTTGCCTACATGTATGTGTTTGCACCTGTATGTACCTGGTGACTGTGGATTCCAGAAGAGGTTATTTTATCCCCTGAAAATGGTTGTGAGCTTTAATGTGGGTTCTTGGAATTTAATTTGAGTCCACTACAAGATTATCAAATGCTCTTAAAATTTGAAAACCCTCTCCAGTTCTCATTTTAAAATGTATTTATGTGTGTATGTGTACTTATGTCTGTATCCATATATGCCATATGTGTGGAATATTTGAGGAGGCCAGAAGAGGGTATGGAAGTACCCAGAAGCTGGTGTTACAGGTGATTTTGCTTTTGATTTTTATTAGGACACTGGTATATTTCATATGATATGAATTTTTTATGATATTTTGTCTGTATAAGTAACTGTCACAAGTGTTTTTTTGAAAATTACTTTCATGATTTGATATTTAAGAATTTGTATATATTTTGTGTGGAAATCATTTTCAAGTTACCCATGAGAATACCAGAGTTAAATTGCTGAATAATATGGTAAAAGTATATTTAAGTTTATTAGATGCAGCCAGAGGCTGCACAATTTTATATCTCTATAGTCACTAAATCGTCACCTCTCTTATTACACAACATTTTTATTATTTTATTTTGTTAACACTTTGGAGTTTATCTGCTATAATAAATGTTTAGTGTCATTTCATTGTTTTAAGTGATAACCATTTAATGATATATGGCAATAAGCAACTTTTCACATGTTTATTTGTATACGACATGTGCCATTCTTCACCTAGGTGTTTTTCAAAATATGTTTTTTTTTTCCATCTTAGTAATGAAATTTTGAAGTTATAGACCTATCTCAATATTTTACAATGATCATTGTTATTCTTTTAATTGCCTAAAATCAATTTCAAATATAAATTCACTTTTGTACATGTATACAATGTGACCACACCCATTGGAGGGTGGAGACAGGGTTGGAAGTGACCTGGGGAACTAGGTCTCAGGAGGAGCCCCAGAGTGCTCTCTTGCTGGCAGGACGTGGGCAGTAGAGCATCCAGAGGCATCCTTGGGACCAGGAACCTGCTAAGGTTCTTCTGTCTATGTTGTAAGTTATTTCTCCCTGAATAAACATCTACTCGGCCTATTTGTTTCTATTGATCCTTATTAAACCATGATAGGTGATTGAGAAGAAAGAATTACCTGGCTGATCCCTCAACTTCATCTAACTGTACTCATATGAACTATGGCTATCTGAGTTATCATATCTATAATCTATCTAATTAGGTTGCTGCTGTTTACTAAAACCCTAAAATTTGTGTGTATCTTATAAATAAAATCCTTTAAAATTAAGGGACATTTCTGATATTACACATTATGGTATTTTATACTTTTGATTTGTTCAGGCTAATTCATGGCAAAAATGGGACCAGTGTAAAAAAAAAAAAAAAAAAAAAAAAAAAGGAATAGGATCATATCCTCTCCCAGATTTCTCTGCTCCAATTCTCTCAGTCTCTCTCTCTCAACAAATCTCCCTTCCAAATTTATCCTTCCTTCCTTTTAAACTTCTTTTGATAACCCAATAATACAGTTAGTGTTGCCCTTATGTGAACCATCTACTGGAACATGAGAAACCTACAAGTGGCCATACCCTCAAAAATAGTAATGCTCCCTCTTCCACTATCAACTATCAATATCTTCTAGGTAAGGAGTAGTAATACTTTCCATATCTATGCTGGAAGTTTTTCAGGCTTGATCTTGTGCAGACATTGTGCAGGTAACCATAGCTTCTGTAATTTCATGGGTGAAACGGCCATCTTATGTCCATAAGACTATACTTCAAAGCATTCTTCCCATTCACCCAACACTTTCAAGCTTTGTGATTCCATTTTCATTATGTTTCCTGAGTTTTGATGTGTGATTGACACAGGCAGGGAGGAGCCCTCTGTCCCTTATCTTGTTTAGTTGTGTGCCTTTGCACTAACTACTACTCACTGCAACAGGAACTTCCTCTGAAGAATGTCAAAAACTGCCCAGTCTATTGGCATAACCATAAATACTTAGAAGGCACTTTGAGAACATGGTCATTTACAAAATGGAAGCAGTAGATTCTACCCTAGGCCCATGAACTCCCCACCTATGAGCTTTGGGCCAGGATTACAAGCCAAGCATGAAATTTACTCATGTAGAGAAGGCCTCAAATCCATTCAGAAAGTTGTCATTTACCTAATTAGTCTTGTTAATATTATACCAGTAGGCATAACTTTCCTGACAGGTTGGTATTGCAGCATGTAGGATCCAGCCCTTGTT